AGTATAAATTGAATATAATTCGTAATATTGAGGCGCTGTTGCCCGATGTCGAAACATATCTTTAAGCTAACCTATGCTTAAATCCGAGGAAAATCTGGACAAGACTGTAAAACTGAGATGAAACGAGACATTAAGCAAAAAACCTAAACCTGTCCTGGCTAAAATGGGACAGAATCATCCTATAGAAGCGGCATTAAGTTAAAAAAAGTCAATATTAAAGAAATTGTCTATAAAACTGTACTTTCATATCTTGAGGTGAGACAAATGTGCCAAGGCCAAATTCATATCACGAAAAGAGGACAGATTTAAACGCATGGTGAGACGGATCTTACAACAAGGGTAGTGACCTTTAAGAAGTTAGGTATACGTATTACGTATATATACTATAGTGTTTGGCTACGAGAAACCATCTATTTCTTTGACTATTATTAGCCAAATTGAGCATAGGCATAATTTTGTAATTGAATAACTGTATCGAGCATTTTAACTAGCTTATTGTGGTTTTATAGGTTAGGTTAAACAAACTAAATTATCAACTAGTTCTAAATCGTCCAAACACTAGTAAAGTCGATTGTAGAACTATAAGTTTGCGAATGCCAGTTTTAAATCACATTCTGAACTTCTGTGAACTTTTTGTTTGAATAAATCTATTATGAATGCTGAACTTGCGGCCTTTAATAATAAATAAAAATAATTTAACTATAAATATACCCCAAAAGAAATGCATAATCAAATTATTGCCTGTCAGTTGGGCTGCTTCTTAATCGACTAGGGATTAAAAATAAATATTATTCATCTTCTTCAATGTGGGAATGTTATTTAAAGAACAAAGTTACTCAAAATCAACACACGAACAATATTTATTCGTGAAACAGTGAAGATTCTCATCTTTATATTAAGTTAAAATGTTTTTCGAATTATTTTATGTCTGTATAAGGCTGATTTTATAAACATATCGTCCTTGAACGAAAATCGAAGGTCGGTTATAACTTCTCTAAAGTTCTAGGTGGTTCCGGTATTACACTGGGATTTGAAGATGGATATTAGCAAATCTGTAACTGTTAAGTACATTTATGGATTTGTTACTACCCATCTCTAAATTCACGCGATTTAACTGAACTTCGATTTTCGTTCAAGAACGACTCAGTCAAGTCTGACTCAACTGAAATTTGTTTATAAATACGGGCCTAAGTATGTCTACATTTTGTTGAGACTATCAAATTAGCTTCTAACCTCTAGTATTTTTACGTCTAGCTAGTTATGTTCATTGAAATAGAATATAGAGGAGATGTAATAGTTGCGTTCGGGTTAGCCAGGGGCTTGAACGGGAATGGAGCCGAGCTTTTTAAGGGTGCCTTTAAATGACATTCAAGCGTGTTGAACTGTCACTAATCGGACTAAACCGAACACTAATAGGGTCGTTTGGAGTTTAATGAGTGAATGGAACTTGTCTGTCCAAATTTACCTTATGACGATACTTTTACGTCATGTGTCCCACTAGTCAGATTTTGAGAATAAATTCCATTTTTTAAAACAGCTTTATTTCAAGGATATAAATACAGTTTCATTACGTCAATCTTCAAATATAAAAATAAACGAAAGTACGACTCTAAGTCACCATTTTGATTGCACTTTTCTATCTCGAAGTGTGTCCATTTCTCATAGCGCAAAATAGTGTTTATGTCATCTCTACTTCATTCTATCTCGATGGTTATGGTCTATGTTCAATGACAGTTGAAATAACGTTATAAAATGATTTTTCACTTGTACTGATTTTTTTAAAGAATAAAAAGTGTTTCTTTTATATTTTTCAATTACTAATACAAAAGAACTTTTACTTAAAACACATTGTTCAACTTAACACATTTTGTAAGTGTCTTAAACTATAGCATTGTTAATTATATTACAGGCCTGATGATGGCTATAAAGCCGAAACCAGTCGCTCTTGTGGTATTGATTTTCAGTGTTATTATTCCTTTGAGTAATAAAAATCGTCAGTTTACAGATTAAAATTTTTAATCGTCTCATGGTTTTTAATAGCTTCAGTAAGCGCTTGTTTTATTATTTCTAAATAAGATACCTACTCATTTTTTTATGAAATAACGGGTTAATTTTTAATATCAGTTGTTGCAGATCAATTTCAAACTTTTGAAGGTTTCGGGGTATCAGTTCTTTAAACATTCGTTTAGTGAACGTATCGTTTGTGACGCCATGAACGACAATTTATTACTCAATAAATTTACACTTATGACGTCACGAACCATACGTTCAGTTAACGAATATTTCGAAAATTAACTGCTGGGACCCATATTATCCAATCTGAGGTAAACAGAAAACTTTTACGAACAATAGATTAAAGATATCACTTTCTCATGTTAACAGTTCAAGTTATAGACTAATTTTTTTTTCGCGACATTAAAAGGATCTGAAGTCTCGTACACTCTTATGGCTCGGACGCGTTTAGAGTCACTGCCCGTGATACGACACCCACGCACGCGCATTATTCGAAATGTAGGGGTAGCGAGTAGTGTGGTTAAGCGGAATTTTCTAAAAAAAAAATAGACGAGGATATAATTATAAAAATTAAAAAAATGAAGATTTACAAAAATAGTTTCGTCTTAGTTCAGAAGGTACTGAAATCTTAGTATCATTCATGCGGTGAACCATGAGCCACCTTACAAAAATAGGGAAGATTTTTTTAGTCCTTAAATTTTCTTCTTAGGTTTTTCCCATTGATGCAAAAAAATGTTTGTACAGGTAAATTTTAGTTTAGAGGGGGACACATTTTTATAATTGCAGCATCATCAGTTCAACCCATCAACCCTTAATCAGTAGGGTAAACAACCCCTACAATTTAAATAAGGAAAGTACTCAGGATGACACATCATTAAAAAGGTAATTTGATGAAAAATTGGGCAATAAGACTATTCATTGGGTTACTTGTAATGATGAACTGCCCCACGTTGGGCGCCAAATTTGCAATGACGTACGTTTTTGCAATGAAATGTGTTTTAAGCTCAAGCCCAAGGGTCATAGGTTTGGCATTAGGATAAAATTAAGCAATTAGAAATTATAATGGGCACTACTATGTTTAAAGCATGTTATCACATTTTAAGATAGTAATGTTAAAAAAGTAAATTTGTCTTGTCTATTTTAAATAACCCTCAGGGAATAGTAAAAATATAACGTCGACGAACCCTATAACAGTACAGTTGGTAGGTACTACAAAATCCTCAGTTTATTGCAAATGCATTAAACACCGTGCTCACTAACATTGGTCCATAATTAGCACATAAAATATCTCAGTCCCCCCAAAAACATTATACCGGGTGTTCATTTTAAAGTGTTACAGTCAAATACCGCCGAAAATATGCATTTTAGAAAAAAAGTTTCAGACAAAAGTTTTATAGTTTTTTGGGGGAAATATTTTGGCTAAATTCATTTTTTTGTAGTTGGCCATAATATGGCCATATCGAGGTGAACTTTGTTTTTTTAAATTGGAATCCCATTTTTTCTTACATATTCTTAAAGTACATAAAAAAATAAGAAAATTTTGAGGGAAATATTTTTTTTATTTGACTTTTACTTTTTGAGCAACAGCTACTTGAAAATGTTGCTGCGCGAAAAAAAATTGGCCATATTATGGTTAGCTATAAAAAACGATTTTAGCCAAAAGTTTTTCCCCACAAAACTATAAAACTTTCGTCTGAAACGTTTTTTTTTTTTTATAAAAAGCGGTATATAGCTGTAACGCTTTAAGTTGAACACCCGGTATAAGCAACTGAAAAATTCTTCCCCGTTTCTTTCCCAGTCATTTCTTACTGGACTATTTGGTTTTCTGCAACAACTCATTTTCTGTAAGCTGTACAAACAATTAGAGCTAATTTAATTTTCTACAAAACAAGTTATAAGCATATGTTTTTTTCAGACCAATAGTTTCTCAGTATTAGACGCGCAAAGTTACCTATCAATAGAAACATATCATCATTTCGCTGGTGGACAAGAATAACGATGTAATTAAAAATAGCCATCTTTATAATATCATGTTCTTAAATTTATTCATCAATTATTTTATTGAGATATTTTTCATGTTTTCTGTTTCTTTTGAAAATAAAAGGCCAGTAGGCTGGTTTTTAAGGCCTAAGTTATTATTGTAAGTCAGCAATGACATAGTTCGCGGTTTTTTCTCGGCTACTACTTATGTCTGATGTAACTTATTAAAAGTATATAAATAAAGATTGTTCTAATTTAATCGTGTTCTGTTTAAGGTTTCACCAGAATCTGAATTCCCTACTAGATCTTCAACAGTTTTTTCAATATATTTCAAAATTTAGTTAAATTCACATCAGGATAACTTTACTACTCCTATTATGCATTAAAAAAAAACATTAAAAACACTCATACTCAAAACTAATTATCACAATCAGGTCCTTTTCAGATATCGGTCACTATTCTTGAGATTATGAATTATAAAAAGCAACTTAGGTCTTTATTGTCTAAATTTTAACTAAATAAGATAAATAGAATAAATTATAATTGTAAAATAAAAGAAGAAGAAAAGTCTTCAAAATATGATATTCTTGAAAAAATAGCAGGAATAATTATTGTGGTACAACTCTAAAAGCCATTGTGTTTTTGTAAATCGAGCTTTGACATCGATGGCGTAACTGAAATGAACCCATATTTGTAATAAACATGTTCGTCTTAAATTAATAATGACGCTATCTCTATTTAGCAAAAGTTGCCAAAAATTTAGGAAAAAATTTAAATTGCGTCAGTATTCTTGAAAACCAGCGATACTTAATAGCCCTGAAGAATGTTTTACATGAATTAAAACGAGAAATTCATTAAACTTGCTTACTTTAGTGTTCTTCATCAGTTAATTAAATCAATAATCTCTATTTTTTTTTTCCAAAAAATTTCAGTTCTTCCACCACACTACACCCTACCGTCAAAAATCACCGCACGGATATTTTTCTTCTTCACCCAACTGTACCACCTTACACGTACCACTCTTTGATGTCCTTGCTATCGCGTTTTTTCTGCTTTTGTTGCGCAGCCAGTTGCGCCGATTTGTCGCCGTTACGCAGCGACCCGTTCAGTTGGTACTGTGCCTGGTGGTGGCCGTTCGAACTAGAAGTGCTGCCCAATAGGGCCGCGTTAGGGCCTTGCTGGTAGCCTTTGGACTCTTCCACTTTGTACGAGCGGTCGCTTCGCGATTTGAATTTGAGGATCACCAAAATGACCAGGATGACAGCTATGAGGGCTCCAGCTATTATGCCTGAAATAACATGATCGTGATTAATTCTAACGTAGTAGTTTTAGAGTAAACAATGAAGATATTCTTAACACAATTTTTTTATCAAATGAGGCTTGTGAAAAGGCAAGTTCTCGGAACTTTTAAAGATAGTTTTAAAAGATAAAAGTCAATTTACGTATATAGTGGACAATATAGGATCAAGCACAGTTCTATGTGTGGCACCATAGGTTGTTATAAGGTTATTGATATATTAGGTATAGTGGGTTCAAAATTAAAATATAATGACCTATTTTTTTAAATTGATCAATCAATGTTTGATAGACATTGGTCCGGAATTATATATTGTATTGAAGGATCGAGATGGTTGTGAACAGGACTGTCAAAAGTTAAAGTTAAGAGAAGATAAAGTTAAGAAAAGTTAAGAAAAGTTAAAAGTTAAGAAAAGGTAAGAAAAGTTAAGAAAAGTTAAGAAAAGTTAAGAAAAGTTAAGAAAAGTTAAGAAAAGTTAAGAAAAGTTAAGAAAAGTTAAGAAAAGTTAAGAAAAGTTAAGAAAAGTTAAGAAAAGTTAAGAAAAGTTAAGAAAGGTTAAGAAAGGTTAAGAAAAGTTAAGAAAAGTTAAGAAAAGTTAAGAAAAGTTAAGAAAAGTTAAGAAAAGTTAAGAAAAGTTAAGAAAAGTTAAGAAAAGTTAAGAAAAGTTAAGAAAAGTTAAGAAAAGTTAAGAAAAGTTAAGAAAAGTTAAGAAAAGTTAAGAAAAGTTAAGAAAAGTTAAGAAAAGTTAAGAAAAGTTAAGAAAAGTTAAGAAAAGTTAAGAAAAGTTAAGAAAAGTTAAGAAAAGTTAAGAAAAGTTAAGAAAAGTTAAGAAAAGTTAAGAAAAGTTAAGAAAAGTTAAGAAAAGTTAAGAAAAGTTAAGAAAAGTTAAGAAAAGTTAAGAAAAGTTAAGAAAAGTTAAGAAAAGTTAAGAAAAGTTAAGAAAAGTTAAGAAAAGTTAAGAAAAGTTAAGAAAAGTTAAGAAAAGTTAAGAAAAGTTAAGAAAAGTTAAGAAAAGTTAGAAAAGTTAAGAAAAGTTAAGAAAAGTTAAGAAAAGTTAAGAAAAGTTAAGAAAGTTAAGAAAAGTTAAGAAAAGTTAAGAAAAGTTAAGAAAAGTTAAGAAAAGTTAAGAAAAGTTAAGAAAAGTTAAGAAAAGTTAAGAAAAGTTAAGAAAAGTTAAGAAAAGTTAAGAAAAGTTAAGAAAAGTTAAGAAAAGTTAAGAAAAGTTAAGAAAAGTTAAGAAAAGTTAAGAAAAGTTAAGAAAAGTTAAGAAAAGTTAAGAAAAGTTAAGAAAAGTTAAGAAAAGTTAAGAAAAGTTAAGAAAAGTTAAGAAAAGTTAAGAAAAGTTAAGAAAAGTTAAGAAAAGTTAAGAAAAGTTAAGAAAAGTTAAGAAAAGTTAAGAAAAGTTAAGAAAAGTCAAGAAAAGTTAAGAATTTTAACAGGGTTAGTGTTTTTGTTAAATATCTCTGGAAGATACGGTTTGCGTTGTTGAATTTCATTTTAAGAGTCCTACAAAATAGAATATATAAAATTTTATAGAGTTAATATGAACTTAGTTGTCTATTAATCAACTCTGCTAGATTCATTATATAGGCTGTCCTCAAATTATCATTTATATACATTGTCCCATAAGAATGTAATATCTTTAATTCTAATATTATTTCTTTTTGTATCATAAGGTTATTAAAGCATTCAAACTGGAAAAGTACTCACCTATAATCAAAGCTACAAACTCGGAAGTCTCCGAATTGACCCGATCGTGTTCTTTAGGCGTGTAGGGGTGCTTGACGGGCGGAGTCTCCGGTAGGGAATGTATAATGTTGGTGGCCAATCGTTGAGTCGTGGTACTAAGCGACGAAGGTGTAGTGTAAGCCACGATTTCAGTGGACGTGGTCGGAACTGTCGTATAGATCCTGGTAGTGTGATGTTCTGTGATTGTTGTATCTTGTTCCGTGGTTCTGGATATCATCGAGGTTATGTTAACTATCGAACTTCCGGTTGAATGGGAAGATACTGTCGATTCGCCATCGGTGCTGTGATAACTGGAGTTATCCGTCGTCATTGTTGACTCTGTTTGATCTAAAACAAAAAATATTAACAGATTTCAGTTATAGGCTATTAAATACAAAAATGCGTTCTAGAATCTCATGGAATCTTTTCTGGGTAAATATACTTTACGCCATAACTAAAGTAGTTTATAGCACAGGTCAAACTGTCAGATTAAAAAAGTACCTGTAGCTTTCGTAGTCGACTCCTCGGTAGTCTCTTCAGATCCAGAGCCTTGGAAGCAATCCTCGTCGTCGCAAGGCTTCTTATCGTCTCCACCGTCCACGTTATTCTTAGGCTTTTTCGTCGGTGGTGGTCTAGTTGGTGGGATAAATACTGGAGTGATCAGATCGTCATCGCCTGATCCAGTTTCTGGAAGGGGAGGACATTCGTCTTCGTCGTCGCCGTTGTTGCATCCAGAACCAGCTCCGCTGAACACCAGGTCGTCTTCCAGGCCCGGAAAGCCCGAGGCTGGCGTCTAAAACAAATACGTATTTTCAAAGTGAGTCGAAAGGGGAAATCCTAGAGGAAATTGTGACTTTGTGTAGTAGTGTTATTGAATTTAAAATTAATTATACTGATTTAAAATACAGTGTGTCCTAATGAAAAGTAGCCGATTTCCAGAGCTTATAAATTTTAAACAAATGGTAGAAACGTGCGGTTTTTGCTGATATGTGTTATTTTGCTATAAGTTTTGCTTCAGTGATACAGACATTATGAATTACCTACACAGGGTGTTTTTTATAAATCTCTTCTTTTAAATTCGCCGTAACCAAATTTTATCAAATGGAAACGGGCTACTTTTTATTGAATAGCAGAAATTAGTTCAGGAGTAATTTGCGCTGGTCATTTAAAATTTATTTTAAACCCAGTACTACTGCTACATATTCACGCCCAACGTGGGACCGTTGAGATATTGATACTTTAGTCACAGTCAATTTGAATAAATAATTAATAGTAGATATCTATTTAAATGGAAATTTTATTTAGTAAGATAAATTGCACAAGTAAGTTGTAAATCTCTTTATTTTCCATTATGGTGGGACAGTTTAAGTGTTTGAGTTTATTAATGAAGGTAACAATTTCTTTTTTTTTACAAACCTGTTGCATTTTCTGTAAATGTTCATGCCTATCCATCTGCGTGAGTTGTACGTCTCCCCTGATGGAGGTGTGTAAGTCTTTTTCAGCAGCTAAATCCAATATTCTCAGTCCATTTACCACTACTCCGGAAATTTTTCCGGAAAACGGTCTTTCTATTCTACCCTTTTTGGTCCACTTGCCTCCTATTTGAATTTGGGACTGGGTGTTGAACACTTGCAGTTGATGACCTACAAAAAGAAATAAAATATTATAATACATTAAATGTTTCAGTTCCAAAAGGAAATTATACCAAACCCAGAAAGGTTCTCCTCTTCCTGCAATTAGTTTATTGTAATTAATGCTGAGCTTATTGGGAAGACCACTCTAAGGGTCGGTCTTTTCACCTTCAGATAATGTTCCAGATAACTAACTGACGGATATATTATCTGAGAGTTACTATCTGTCAGATAATTAATTTTCTGTTTTTTCAAATAAATAATATGTATGGTAAGTATCCAGTAGTTTTTAATCTTATGTAGTTATGTAGCAACCTTTTTATCCATCAGTAAAGTATTTTATCAGGAATTTCATAACTAAGTTAAGTTATCATTCAGAAGTTAGGTTTATCCAGAAGTGAAAAGATTACTTTTTAAGTTACTTTGGAGATAAAAATTACCTGGCACTTTATCTGAAGGTGAAAAGACCAACCCTAAATTTGAAAAAACTTTACAGGAAAAACGATTGTATTCCTAGAGATAATCGTCGGGTTTAGGTTGGGTTCGAAACTTAATAGAAGAATTTGTAGCTACGTCATCTATCGAATAGCCCAGATCTAGCACATTACGATTTATTTGGATTTTGGAGCGAAAAATTAGTATTTTAAAGAACGTTCAAAATATTTATACGTTGGATTAAGTTTGTAAATATTATATTATCTAAGAGGATATGTTTTTCAAAGCCTTTTCTGCGTTTTTTTTATGACTAGGTAGATAATATAAAAATCCTGCTAGTAATATTTTAAAATTCTTCATTTGTTAGTCAAAATCCAATTTTTAAATCTTCATATAGCTCGGGAGCTGGAAAAATAGTTTTTTTTTTTATTTATTGTCTAATCGCATCAACTAAGGAAAAATATTTAAGAGGGTATGTAGTGATATTCAGATTAATTTAATTATTACCAGTCCAGTATTTTTTTACAGACATTACCAAATATCACATTTCAAATCAACAACAAAAAAAAATCTGTTTTCCATAATATATTGGAACAGTAAAATAAAAGAGTTATAGAATTCCAATATAGTTCATATACGCTTGTTAATTAGCCTTTGTTTAATATATTATTCATCATATAAATTCGAATATAAACAAATAATTGTTAATGAATTTTGTTCTACATACGTGTAATCAAATTTTGATTGTTTTAGGTAAAACAAAAAACAATTTCAGCATATTGCCATAAAATATTAACGAAGAGAAAAAAACGTCACAGTTCAGTATTATGATTACCGTTGGGCTACATTCTGTTTACGAAGAGGTGGAGTATCGATTTTTTTAAAGGTGGGAACTTGAAAATTGGAATTGTAGCTATTCATGATAAGTAAATAATTACGTATTTAAAGGTTTTTGCATTTTCACATTTTAAGGAGGAAATAAATAAATAAAAACAAATAAATAAATAAAAATTAATAAAACTTAAATTAATAAAAATTAATAAAAATTAATAAAAATTAATAAAAATTAATAAAAATTAATAAAAGTTAATAAAAATTAATAAAAATTAATAAAAATTAATAAAAATTAATAAAAATTAATAAAAATTATTAAAAATTAATAAAAATTAATAAAAATTAATAAAAATTAATAAAAATTAATAAAAATTAATAAAAATTAATAAAAATTAATAAAAATTAATAAAAATTAATAAAAATTAATAAAAATTAATAAAAATTAATAAAAATTAATAAAAATTAATAAAAATTAATAAAAATTAATAAAAATTAATAAAAATTAATAAAAATTAATAAAAATTAATAAAAATTAATAAAAATTAATAAAAATTAATAAAAATTAATAAAAATTAATAAAAATTAATAAAAATTAATAAAAATTAATAAAAATTAATAAAAATTAATAAAAATTAATAAAAATTAATAAAAATTAATAAAAATTAATAAAAATTAATAAAAATTAATAAAAATTAATAAAAATTAATAAAAATTAATAAAAATTAATAAAAATTAATAAAAATTAATAAAAATTAATAAAAATTAATAAAAATTAATAAAAATTAATAAAAATTAATAAAAATTAATAAAAATTAATAAAAATTAATAAAAATTAATAAAAATTAATAAAAATTAATAAAAATTAATAAAAATTAATAAAAATTAATAAAAATTAATAAAAATTAATAAAAATTAATAAAAATTAATAAAAATTAATAAAAATTAATAAAAATTAATAAAAATTAATAAAAATTAATAAAAATTAATAAAAATTAATAAAAATTAATAAAAATTAATAAAAATTAATAAAAATTAATAAAAATTAATAAAAATTAATAAAAATTAATAAAAATTAATAAAAATTAATAAAAATTAATAAAAATTAATAAAAATTAATAAAAATTAATAAAAATTAATAAAAATTAATAAAAATTAATAAAAATTAATAAAAATTAATAAAAATTAATGTGCAAAATTCTGATTTTTATGAAAATTGTTGAACTAAAAGTTGTTTGCGATATCGATCTCTAGAATTTTTGTTTATACATGATTTTTCTAAAATGGACCGTAATGGAAAAATTGGAGGAAGAGTGCTAAATTTTAATTTTTCAGTATTTTCGTTTTAATGAATATCTATAGAAAAATGTTTCGAGGTAGATGTATGTGGAAAATGTAAATATTCAGTTTATCCTCTAAACATTTATAGCGGTGCTGCAATAGGTTGTACAAAATAACCAGAAAAAGCCTATAATAACTAGATAGGAAAGTCATGTGCTGGACACATCAGATTTTTATTTAAACAATAAAGAAAGCGAATGGACATGGGGTATTTCCAAAACTATACGTAGATGTTAATAGTTGTATTATAAACGTTTGAGTTTGGAAATAAATTGAGTTTACCAAGAACAATAATATAAATATTCATAAGTACCTACCGGCTCCATCTACAAGAACTGCAGAGACACAGATAGGGTAGGACAACATCTCCATCTGCACAACAGAGGGTGTCCACAAGGAGGAGTTTTATCCCCACTAATGTGGAGCCTAACCGTAGACGAACTTGTATGCCGATTGACTGACCTCGGCATACCCTATCAAGGTTATGCCGACGACATAGTCATATATGCTAGAGGCAAGTTTGTAAATATCCTGTGTGATATAGTCAAACGAGGACTAGAACATACCAAAAGATGGTGCTGTGAAGTGGAACTTAGTATAAACCCCACGAAAAAAACACTAGTAGCCTCTTCAAAGAAAAGAAAACTGAATCTCAAAACCGTTAAATTAGAGGGGATAGATATAGAATGAAAAAATAAAGTCAAATATCTAGGCCTAAACCTGGACAACAAATTTTTCTAGAACTTTCATGTAGTACTAAATAAGGCCACAAAAGCCCTAATGGTGTGCAGAAATATTGCGGGTAAAAGATGGGGATGTAACCCAAACACACTGCGATGGATGTATACTGCAATAGTAAGACCAATCATCGCTTATGGGGCTATAGCCTGGAGTAACAGAACGAGTTTGGCTACTACGAGAGCGAATATCTCAGGTAATCTTAAACCTCACCTCTTAATGATAATGTGACAAAAAAACACTATATAGAATGATCAGGAACGGAATAATCAGATGAAATTATATTAGCTTCAGGACCGAAGAAAGTTGAAATATGCCCCAAGAAGAAATGAGGAAAAAGTACAGCATTGTGAAAAACTTCAAAATTACAGAGCTAGGCTGCAAGAAAGAATGGAGCCAAGAATCCATCATTCTTGCAACCGAAAGTGGTATACAGATGGTTCCAAAACCATAGAAGGAACTGGAATAGGAGTGCATGAGCCTAGAACCATGTACTTTAAAATGTTGGGAAAATACCCAAGCATCTTCCAGGCGGATATTCACGCCATCGAGTGTATTTAGTTTGACATCGAAAGAAACTATCGTAGACAAGAGATTATATCATAATGTCCGATAGGCAAGCAACCATCAAAGCCATCTTACGTAATCAGCTCAAAAATGGTCTGGATATGCCTATAAAAATTGAATGAGTTAGGCGAGAAAAATACAGTTACTCACTTGGGTCCCGGGAAATATCGAGGAACAGGGTAACGAGATTGCAGATAGTTTCGCAAGGAAAGGGGCTCAAACACCCGTTGTGGGACCTGAGCCGTTCTGCGTTATCAGCGGTAACACAATATTAGGAGAGATTTAAAAAGAATTGGGCAGTAGAAGAATCGGTAAACTTCTAAGTGAATATAATCAGAAAAGATCGGAAGCATGCATCTGCCTGAGCAAGAACGGGCTACATATTATAACCAGGATTGTTACTGGGCATTTTCGACTGAAAGGACACTTTATATTAGTAGTAGAAGATAGTGAGTGCAGATTCTGTGAGGAGAAACCTCCATTCACATTCTGACTTAATGTGTAGCACTCCAGAATCTAAAGGTATCATACCTAGGAACATATCAAATAGAAGAGGGAGATTTACCTAATTTGATGCCACTCCAAATCCTACACTTCCCTAAGAAGATACGAGTGGAAAGATCGTTATAGGCATTGAGACATTAAGATATTGCTGCATTTACGACAAAATTAACGACAGTATTAACACCCTATTCCCAACATAACATATGTACCTACCTACTTAAAAAAATTCTTACATAATTAAAACATACCATTAAGATTGAGCTACAGAAACAAACATACTCTTTCTGTTTACTAAGCCTAATGTCATGAACATAAAACATCAAGGGATTTCTATTCGCTCCGTGCGAAGTCATGGAAAGGGAAGCAAAAGCGATACTAGCGCTAGCTGCGGATAATTCGTGCATTTTAGGGGGATATTTTGTAATTTTGGCATATTAAATACACGTATACATTTTACTTTTTTTCAAAAAAGTAGGTAAAAACAACACAATAAGCAACCGGAGTTGCTGTGTTGAAAATTGTACAAATACTAGCAAAAAAAAAACAGTGAAACTTATATAACAAATTTCACTAACAAAGTGGAAATTAAATCAAAGAAATAAATGGATAGGTGTACAATAAGAAGAAAAATTACCTTTATTTTTGTGATAATAACAGTAATGCCGGAAATAGTAGACATCAGAAACTAGAAAGTTTTTAAATAAACAGTAAATTATCATTTTACGATGTTCTTTAATATCCCTTTATTCTTAAATGTTCATTCAGCAAGGACTAGATTTCAAGATTTCTGCCGTTGATTATAATATTTGGCTGGTATGCAATTTTGTGACTAACTGATCGGAAACCAGTTTTAATCATTCATTCTATGTTTTCTTTAGAACAAAAATGAAAATATAAGTAGCGATCCTTTTTATACATTTTAACTTCACGCTATTATAAATGGTTTCTTCAATGACAACTTATTAGACTTAGGCAACTTCTCATACATTTTCCAGTAAATACTGTTGCCTGCCTATATTTTATTGTTGATTTTTAATGATTATACATAATTTTCTTCAATTTAAGCGTGAAAAATATATAATAATAATAAATTAATGTTTTAATTGTTTTATAAATCCATATACTTTTATTAAAACTAACATATATACTTTTTATTTACGAATTCTATTAAAAATTGTATTTGTCGGTATAGGCAGAAATACTCCTTTAATATCAAAACAAATTGGCGCTGCTGTCGCGCACGGAGCGAATAAGGTCACCCGCTTCTCGTCCAGAATTCATTAGAACAATTAAATGAATTTAAAAAAATACTTACCTAAAGGATGAACCGTTTGAACATTGTAATCATCTACTTGCAGGGTAGCATTGTGTCCTTGTCTATTGTACCTAATTACGTGATATGCATTATCATTGACTTTTACTGAAATCTCTCCGAGAAGAAGATCGCTGGAACCTAAATTGTATACAACGAAAACGTTGCCCTCCACCTAAACAAAAAAGAAAAAATTGAGTCTATCCAAGCTAGATAAAAAAAATTGTATATTGTTTAACAAGTGACGAAAATAACATTATTCCAATATTTTACTTAATTAACCAACTGAGGCGACGGATAAAACTGAAATTAGTGTGAAAAAATCCATAAAAAAACCTTTATTGTAAACGAAATTATTAGTGCCATAACACCGCAATGCGTGATAATTTCATTTCATGTTATTACGGTATTTCGTGGTAGGTATCTGTAATTTAAATTGAAAAAAAATATCGATTTAATAAGATTTGATCGCTAAAAACCACATGCATTTGCATGATTGCAGCTCTCAAAGCTGCAAATTTTATATTCATTACAACAAATTATATTATCCATTTTTCACGTTAGGTAAACAAATAACTTATAAAAATACCATACGATAGTAAAATAATATCTATATTAGGCAACGAGTATATTAACTACAAATATGGGTGCCTTAAGAGTCATTAAATGTAAGTTACATATAATATTTTTTCTACCAGAAATTATAATAATGATGTAACTTACAATGTACATTTCGATATAGTCGTTTGAAGTCCCACTGACGATTCTCAGTAAAACAGAATCGGATTTGGAAGTCATGATCCCGAGGGCTATGGTATCCTCTTGCATTTCTGGCATGTTGTCTTCAGGATATGTGTAGATTATGATACCTCTGTTGGGCCCGAACTCGTATGAAACTGATTCTATAAAAAAATAAAATGGTTTAAAATTATCAAAAATTATCAAAAATTATCAAAAATTATTAAAAATGATCAAAAATTATTAAAAATTATCAAAAATTATCAAAAATTATCAAAAATTATCAAAAATTATCAAAAATTATCAAAAATTATCAAAAATTATCAAAAATTATCAAAAATTATCAAAAATTATCAAAAATTATCAAAAATTATCAAAAATTATCAAAAATTATCAAAAATTATCAAAAATTATCAAAAATTATCAAAAATTATTAAAAATTATCAAAAATTATCAAAAATTATCAAAAATTATCGATAATTATCAAAAATTATCAAAAATTATCAAAAATTATCAAAAATTATCAAAAATTATCAAAAATTAAAACTGTTTAAAACTGTTTAAAACTGTTTAAAACTGTTTAAAACTGTTTAAAACTGTTTAAAAACTGTTCAAAACTGTTTAAAAACTGTTTAAAACTGTTTAAAACTGTTTAAAACTGTTTAAAACTATTTAAAACTGTTTAAAACTGTTTAAAACTGTTTAAAACTATTTAAAACTGTTTAAAACTATTTAAAACTGTTTAAAACTGTTTAAAACTGTTTAAAACTGTTTAAAACTGTTTAAAACTGTTTAAAACTGTTTAAAACTGTTTAAAACTGTTTAAAACTGTTTAAAACTGTTTAAAACTGTTTAAAACTGTTTAAAACTGTTTAAAACTGTTTAAAACTGTTTAAAACTGTTTAAAACTGTTTAAAACTGTTTAAAACTGTTTAAAACTGTTTAAAACTGTTTAAAACTGTTTAAAACTGTTTAAAACTGTTTAAAACTGTTTAAAACTGTTTAAAACTGTTTAAAACTGTTTAAAACTGTTTAAAACTGTTTAAAACTGTTTAAAACTGTTTAAAACTGTTTAAAACTGTTTAAAACTGTTTAAAACTGTTTAAAACTGTTTAAAACTGTTTAAAACTGTTTAAAACTGTTTAAAACTGTTTAAAGACTTTCTAAAAATTTCTAAAAATTTCTAAAAATTTCTAAAAATTTCTAAAAATTTCTAAAAATTTCTAAAAATTTCTAAAAATTTCTAAAATTTCTAAAAATTTTTAAAAATTTCTAAAAATTTCTAGAAATTTTTAAAACTGGCTAAAACTGTTTAAACTGTCTAAGCTATCCAAACTGTCAAAATTGTCTAAACGGCCTAAATTGTATAAACTGTCCATTATCTAAACTGTCTAAACTCTCTAAAACCATCCAAAATTGTTTTCTCAAAAAAATTGTCAGAAAAAAATACATTTTTATTTAATATGAGAGATATATAGCTAGAACGTCGTACTTTTATCTCAGAGTTCCATTCTTGACCCGTTTCTGCTTATAATAAATCGCTTTTTTTCCAGAATAGTGACACAACTATAAAAATTCTATTTTTCTAGAGAGCGATTTTAATTTTTTTTTTTATTATAAAACAATTATTGATATTAGTATTGTCGCACTGGTTTTTGGTATCGCAATTTATTTCAACTCAACTTTAACAACAATTATACAACTGATAACATTAACATGTAACGTTTATCATAAAACTGAAAACTGACGTCAGAATAATCTTTATATAGCTTGCTTGACCCTTCTCGAACCTTCTCAAACCTTCTCGAACTGTCATCTAGAATATTCTTGACGGGTAATTCATTTCCAGACTTTTCGGGACTATTCCATCTTCTTTTACTTGTACTTTTACTTATAACGACCGCAGTACACTATATTGTGATGTGTAACATTGCACTTCTTTTCATATTTGTACGTTTCCTCTAACGGCCGCAGGCCACTGCAGGGTGTAGTGGAACAGTATTATTAGACTAATATGTATGTTTTAAGAAACTCATCATTTACACGAGTCAATAGATAATGAACAAACATAAGCTTGGACAATTTGTCAGGACATTCGTAGTAAGTACAAGTGAGGCAAAAATTGCATTAACGAAGATAAAAAAGGAACGGAACAAAGAGGAATCGTTGTTTAAGTTTTTAATTATAGCGAATATTCCAATAAATTGTAAAAATTGAATGTTAGAACTAATAAAAAATTCAACAACAAATTAAAAACTACAATTTTTACAATGCAATGTTTCTGATATGTATTCTATAAACTACGTTCTCAATCTAAAGTATTCTGTCTCACTTTTCATTTGCCGTTAAAATGTATGATAATCATTTTGGTACACAAGTCGTTCGTGGTGATCTCTTGTTAGGGATTCTAATTATATATCAGTGACAAGTCGTGTCACGGACGGGTTCCGCAAACAAAGCTATTATCAGGGTTATAAAAAAAAATACCTTGAATAGTGACTTTCTACTGTAAAAATCATAATTTTCCAAGTAAATATTTCATAACTTAATGTATACTTTTGCAAGTAAAATAATATTGCATATTTTATTTAATAATTCAACCGGACGTCGTTATAAAAATATAAAGTTTTAATTTAAAACAAAGGTTTCCTGACATTAAAAAACATCATGAAATTGCTGATACAGTTTTTTTTACTCGAAACTTGGCAATATACTTAGTTTCGCAAGCTATTGGAAATAACCAAACTATGTGGACTATGAAACTACAAGTGTTTCTGATATAGCAGTTAAGCCACATTGTTCAACGCTGGTTGGATTAGAAAAAAGGCAGAGTCAATACCAGGGAGTACCAAAGAGAACTTCGTGGAAATTATAAGTAAGTACCCATTTTCCGTAATAAGTAATTATAAACAAATAAAATAAAGTAACCACGAAGTTTCCGGGTTAATACACTACTCAAAATATTTTAGTATTATTGTAATACAAAATTCAATTTTTTTTGGATTAAGTTACTATTCTGGAAAGAAGCGATATATCATCAATTATATTATTTATCGCAGTTCATATAATAATAATATAATAATACTCTCCCTAATTTACCCCCTTACGAGTGAATTTCAACCCCTGAAATCAACTGAACGACTTGTGTAGGGAAAGGGACGGCTATTATTATTATTCGCCAGATATTTTTCCAATTATTTGGAAGTAGCTTTAGAGAGAAGTAGTTTTTCTTACCATCAGAGCACGTAGGTCCTGTAAAAGAAGTCATATCACAGTCGCATGTGTACGATGTCCACTGTTGAACACATTTACCAGCATTGGCGCAAACGTTGTGGCTACATTTTGCAGATTGACCTAGAAATATTGAAAGGAGAAAAGATATTTTAAGCAAATGCAATACTTTTATATACATATAAAAAATTAAAGGAAGGAAACAATATTAGAATGTGTGCTTTTGGATTATTTGTACCAATATTTTTAGTAGAAAGTAGAGATAATGGAGAAATTATGTTACCTTCATTTCTTTTATACAGAGTTGGGCAAAAGTCCGGAATGGCTCGGTTATAAACTATTATAAAAAAGCCGAACGTGAAATCCAACAAAATTCCAAAGAATTCTAGAGGTATAGAAACGATAAACAAAATTCAAATGAGCTTCCGAGGACAATGTATTACAATAAAAAAATGTATGGTAATCCTCAGGGAATAATTAATGCATTTTGCAAAAAATTTTCAAAATTCACTTGCTACAAATACAATCATTTTTTAGCTACGGTAAATTAAATCTTGACATGTTAAATTTAGAACACTTTTCTGAAAAAAAAAAACCTTTATAAAGAACTGAAAAAAATATAAAATCAAAATATACCAAGGGGACTAAAAAAATGTATTATTTGATTATGAATTTATTATCTAGTAGATTTAAAACAGAGTAATAAACTTTGTTTGGTATAGTGTTGAATTTTATATCCGAGCGTTGGACAGTTAGTTTCTATTTTATTTAAATTGGAATAATTATTAGTTACTTTTATTTTCTGAACTCTGTAGTTCAACCGTATTATTTTTATCGTGGGACTGGCTGACTGGAGTAGATTTACTGAATAGGGTTTCCGCGTACTGTTGCGCATTACATTCAATAGCATTTATTTCCTTGAATGACTGGGCTGGTACAGCAGTCGTTTTATTTCAAGTATTTACATGTTAGTCCGATTTTCATTTACATTAGGAGTTTCTATTCGATAAATAAGAATGCTCCTTTTTGTCGCTGTCAAAGTGACAAAAGAGTTATCAGTATATGGGTATTATCCACATACTTTGATTACTATACGGGGCAAGAGAGAGGTCCGACACGCCCAACATAGGGCGCGGCCATTTTGAACCCTATGACACAGTTTATAGCTAAAGAATCAGATCGCTCACTCTGCGTCGGCACTTTTTATCTCAATGTTCCAGTTTATACACTGCGCAACTCAGATAATACAATATATGACAACCGCCTATAATAAAACAGCAGTCTTCTGCGTATCCTGAATTTGTATCCCTGGAGTGGATGTTATTTTGGAACTTTCAACGGGTCCGAGTGAGCTAACTGATTCTTTGGCAATAAACTGTGACCCAAAAATAATATTCACTGACACTGACAGCAGCAAGCAAAATATCAGGTGCGTTTTAATCATCCGCTTCTGCTTCCGGAATTGTCGGTTCAGTCGTTCTAACCTGTCAGATTAAAATAAGAAAACCGACAATTCCGAAGCAGAAGCGGATGATTAAAACGCACCTATTAAAAATATTGCGCCAAGATGTAGGCAACACGTAATAAGGGTTCAAAATGGTGGAGTTTTCTATCTCCTTTTAAAAGGCACTCAGAAAGCTGCGCAGTGCTACCATTCTCCGTATAGTACACATACTTTGATTTTCTTTTACTATACGGAGAATGGTCGCACTGCGCAGCTTTCTGAGTGCCTTTTAAAAGGAGATAGAAAACTCCGCCATTTTGAACCCTTATTACGTGTTGCCTACATCTTGGCGCAATATTTTTAATAGGTGCGTTTTAATCATCCGCTTCTGCTTCGGAATTGTCGGTTTTCTTGTTTTAATCTGACAGGTTAAAACGACTAAACCGACAATTCCGGAAGCAGAAGCGGATGATTAAAACGCACCTGATATTTTGCTTGCTGCTGTCAGTGTCAGTGAATATTATTTTTGAAGTCACAGTTTATTGCTAAAGAATCAGTTAGGTCACTCGGACCAGTTGAAAGTTCCAAAATAACATCCACTCCAGGGATACAAATTCAGGATACGCAGAAGTTTGCTGTTTTATTATAGGCGGTTGTCATATATTGTATTATCCGAGTTGCATAGTGTATAAACTGAAACATTGAGATCAAAAGTGCCGACGCAGAGTGAGCGATCTGATTCTTTAGCTGTAAACTGTGTCACAGGGTTCAAAATGGCCGCGCCCTATGTTGGGCGTGTCGGACCTCTCTCTTGCCCCGTATAGTAATCAAAGTATGTGGTATAGTAAAAGAAAATAATCGAAGTATGTGGTATTATCACATACTTTGATTTTCTCTATACGGAGAATGATCGCACTGCGCAGCTTTCTGAGTGCCTTTTAAAAGGAGATAGAAAACTCCGCCATTTTGATGTCTTATTACGTGTTGCCTACATCTTGGTGCAATATTTTTAATATTTTGCATACTGCTGTCAGTGTCAGTGAATATTTTTGGAGTCACAGTTTATTGCTACAGAATCAGTTAGCTCACTCGGACCAGTTGAAAGTTCCAAAATAACATCTACTCCAGGGATACAAATTCAGTATACGCAGACGACTGCTGTTTTATTATAGGCGGTTGTCATATATTGTATTATCCGAGTTGCGCAGTGTATAAACTGGAACATTTAGTTCAAAAGTGCCGACGCAGAGTGAGCGAACTGATTCTTTAGCTATAAAATATGGCAAAGGCATCAAAATGGCCGCGCCCTATGTTGGGCGTGTCGGACCTCTCTTTTGCACCGTATAGTAATCAAAGTATATGGTTATTATTAACATTGTAGGCTCTAGTTGTACATTTTTTAGTAGATTTAATCGTTTTATATGTCTCACCAAACTTTCTCATGGATATCTCAAGAATTGGGGTCTTGATGATCGTTTTTCTAAATCTCTGGTACCTACAGTAAAATTAAAGAAGAAAATAAATAGGTAATTTAAAAAATCCATTTTTTTTTGTTTGTTTTGTACCTTCTTTCGCTATTTCTTAGATTTTCTCCATATGCTTGTAAGACATTTTCTTATTTTTCATGTCTTGTATTTAGATTTCCCATTAAAGAAAACTCTGGATCAGTCTGAAATTTATTGGTCACGATCTATAAACAGTACATCATTGTGTTGAATATAAGAAAATGACTAATTTATAATGTTTTAACCTGATACCTATCCTGTAAAGACTGTAAAGTCATTTGACTGCATTTATCCCGGTGACCTAGAAAGCTATACGTACATAAATCCATTTTCGTCAGTTGTTTGTAGATGATAATTTAACGTAGTTAATCAATTACCTAGGCTTTTAAACTTCAAACAGTGTCGTTTGTCGAACAGTGTGAAACTTAATTAGATTATTAAAACGAAGGGAAGGGGTCCAGATAGGGTTAAGTGCAGCCACCGGAATTTATTCTGTTTAAACGACAAAAGTATGATAACATTTGCGTTATTAGCGATTTAACAAACTAAACTGTTTATTGAGGTCTATTGCAATCGGGATTGGATGACAATTTTGACAATTAGGGTGTCCGATCCAAAATTGTCAAAACAAAATGGGATAAAAACAAGTCATAATTAAACAATGACTTTGAATCACTTTGAAAAATGCCTAACGGGGGTTAGACGCTTCCATTGAGATAGAATAAAGACGATACGAAGTGTCCACATCTTTGCACCACACTTTTACGTCATATGTCAAACTCGAGCTAGTCCGTTTTGGTGAGAATAAATGCATTTTTTTTAAATAGCTTAATTTAAATGATATAAAAATAATTTAATTGCGTCAATCTTAAAATATATAATTACTGACTTTAAATAAATGAAAGTACGTCTCCAGTTGCCATTTTGGTTACACTTTTCCATCATTTGAAGTGCGCCAATCTGTCATATCACTAAATAGTGTTTATGTAGTCTCTACTTCATCCTCAACTCAATGTGTGCATCAAATAATGATGAGCTATATTTCTTGCGCAACATATTTAAACGGGTTTTCCTAACCGTAACCTTAAAAGAATACTGCTATATGAGATTTTGAATCATCTTGCGTTTTCCTCATTCGATTCAGATCAATAATAGACAGATATAAGCTTAGTCCTTTTGGTATTAATACCTCAGAAAAAATATAGGAGAGGGCACAGAGAAATTGTACCATGCGAATACCTTTGAAAAGGTCAGTGCGAAATAAAGAGTATTGAGAACCGGTAAAACTAAATTTTTGGTGCAAAACGTTCTTATCTGTATAATTAAAAAAAAAAACCTGTGGTAGGAAAAAGCCTGGATCATTCTTTGGATACCGGAATTAAGGAGAGCTTTCACGTCACCCCTAGATATAGTTTGGGTAAGATTTGGTCTCAATCGTTTTTTCTTAACCGTTTTATTTTTTTAAATCATTTTTTTAACTATTACTTAATAAAACAATTTTAAAAGACATACAGTCTATTTTTCTCTGCCTACTGGTTAGGCTATCAACTGTTCCTACTTGCGGGAGCATACATTTTTGGTCCTATCGGAGCACGGAATTTTGTTACATTATAAATGATTTTTTGAAGCTATTTCATTTGAATTTTTAACGGCTAAATTTTATAATTTATAATTAGGTATAATAATTGTTTAATTGTTTCCAAAAACGACAAAAGAGCAAACGTTTCCATTTTTTCCCTTGTTATCAGTGAATTATCAAAACAAATTTTACTGTTTACCGGTACGGTGTGCATATTTACACATCCTCCTATATGACGGCACCGGAGTGCTGAAATCTGTTCGCCTTTGTAGCCTACAAGTACGCTACAAAAGCCGTGATATAGGAGGATGTGTAAATATGCGTACGGTGTGGATATCTTGTTTCACTCTCGTTATATATAAAAAAAAATGTATATACTTGTGGAAAAAAGTTTTGATAGGATTTATTCGTTTTAATTTTGTGAAGTAAAATTGGTATTGCACATTTCTTGGGCATTTAATTAATTATTTTCGGTTTGTAGAAAATAAATATTTTTCCATTTCGCTGCTTGATTGGAGGTCTTTTGTGCGTTGTTTAACAAGAATTAATTTGGCAATATTTTTGGCTAAGAGTAAATAGATATATTTAAATTTGG